CCCTTCAACTTTTTAGAGGCCTCTCCCTTTTGTTGAGGAAATGTTTTTTTTTATGGTGGTGCATAATATGCTGTAGTGAAAATTAAACTGCCCAGGGGCTGTGTTGAGGCTGCCAAGTCTGTGGGACTAGTCATCTTGACTTTGCAGGGCTGTTTTCCCTAGGGGAAAACCGAATCATCAGGTTTATTATGCAGTGACAGATGTTTAATTTGTAAATGTCACGGCAACTTCAAGGACTTTGTGTTTGGCATACAATGCTTCAAATACATACTGGTTTTACGTGAGAAGACAGCTATGATGTATGGCTGTAGTTGCTGCAGTTCTGCTTGCTTTCTTTTTTTGAGTTCTCTTGGAGATGGCCCTTAACCTTTTGCTAATAATCTGTTACAGTTGACAGGTGTGATGTCTTTTCTTGTCATGATATGAGTTAGGTAAATATTATGCTGATACGAAGTCTGTAACATTCAAACACAGTCTGATCATTTCTTTATTTTCACTGTCTTTCAATGTCACTTCCCTACAACATCTATAGTAACAAGTTCTTTTAGTCGGAGGGGATTTATCTACTCTAGCGGTCAGAAATCTGAATCTGAGCTAGCAGTCTCAACATCAACCGTAACAAGTAAAGATAAAGCGGTAGTTCTAGGTTGTAGACCCATTGCATCTCATGTGCGCCTACTATTTTGCCTTGACTGGACATCAGAACTAGTCAGTTTGGCATGCCTTTAAAAGTGGCTTCCTCTAATATAATTCTAAAGTTACTAAGAACAAAAATGCTTGTGTTCCTTACATTCTGAAATGTCCTAAAAGTCCAGATTGGTATAACACGCAACTTCAGACATGTAACCTACACATCTAAGCCATAGCATCATCATCCTACTGAGTCATTAGTGGAGTGATGCATTTCTGAAGGGTTTACACAGGCTGAAGCTTGAAAGGCAATGAATTCCTTTTTATTGGCAGTAGGAACATAGAAATACTGTCATAGAATGGTTTGGGTTGGAAGAGACCTTAAAGATCAGTTCACTTCAACTCCCCTGCCACAGGCAAGGACATTTTCCACTAGGTCAGATTGATCAAACCCGCATACAAGCTGGTCTTGAACACTTCCAGGGAGGGGGCATCCACAGCCTCTCTGGGCAACCCGTTCCAGTGCCTCACCACCCTCACAGAAAATAATTTCTTTCTTCTGGCTAATCTAAATCTACTCTCTTTCAGTGTTAAAACCATTATTCCTTGTCCTATCGCTACACTCTGTGGTAGAGTCCCTCCCCATCTTTTCTGTAGGCCCCCTTTAGGTACTGGGAAGCTGCTATAAGGTCTTCCTGGAGCCTTCTATTCTCCAAGCTGAACAACCCCAACTCTCTCAGCCTGTCCTCACAGGAGAGTTACTCCAGCCCCCTGATCATCTTTGTGGCCTCCTCTGGATCTGCTGGAGCAGGTCCATGTCCCTCTTATGTTGAGGGCCCCAGAGCTAAACACAGCACTCCAGGTGGGGTCTCATGAGAGCAGAGTAGAGGGGGAGAATCACCTCCCTTGACCTGCTGGCCACACTCTCTTGATGCGGCCCAGGATACATTTGGCTTTCTGGGCTGCGAGTGTATATTGCTGGCTCATAGTCAGTTTTCCATCCACTATTCAAATCATCCTCTGTAGGGCTTCTCTCAATTGACTCTTCACCCAGCCTGTATTTGTGCATGGTATTGCCTCAACCCATGTGCTGGATCTTGCACTTGACAATGTTGAATTTCATGAGGCTTGTATGAGCCCACTTTTTATGCCTGTCCAGGTCCCTCTGGATGGCATCCCTTTCCTTCAGCCTGTCAACTACACCACGCAACTTGGTGCCATCTGTGAATTTGCTGAGGGTGCACTCAATCCCACTGTCCAAGTCACCGACAAAGGTGTTAAACAGTGCTGGTCCCAACACTGATCCCTGAGGAACATGACTGATCACCGGTCTCCAGCTGGATGTTGAGCCATTGACTGCAACTTTGAGTGCGACCATCCAGCCAGTTCCTTATCCACTGAGCGGTCCATCCATCAAATCCATGTCTATCAAATTTAGAGACGAGGATGTTGTGCAGGACAACGTCAAATGCTTTGCACAAGTCCATGTAGGTGACATCAGTTACTTTTCCCTTATCCACTAGTGCTGTAACCCTGTCGAAGAAGGCTACCAAATTTGTCAGGCACAATTTGCCCTTAGTGAAGCCATGTTGGCTGTCACCAATCTTCTCCTTATTTTCCATGTGCTCTGGGATAGTTTCCAGGAGGATCTACTCCATGATCTTGCTGGGCATGGAGGGGAGACTGACTGCCTGTAGTTCCCTGGGTCATCTTTATTACCCTTTTTAAAAATGGGGCTTATGTTTCCCTTTTTCCAGTCAACGGGAACTTCACCAGACTGCCACAACTTTTCAAATATGAAGGATAGTGGCTTAGTCACTTCATCTGCTAGTTCCCTCAGAACCCATGGATGCATCTGATCAGGTCCCATGGACTTGTGCACCTTCACGTTCCTTAGATGGTCTCAAACCTGATCTTTTCCTACAGTGGGCAGTTCATTCTCCCAGTCTCTGCCTTTGCCTTCTGCGACTTGGATGGTGTGGCTGGTGAAGACTGAGGCAAAGGAGTCATTGAGTACCTCAGCCTTCTCCGTATCCCAGGTGACCAAGTCTCAGTTTTCTGTCTGGAGAGAACCATCATTTTCCCTAGTCTTCTCTAGTCCTAGTAACCAACATACCTGTAAAAGCTTTTTTTGTTGCTCTTGACATCCCTGGACAGATATAATTCTATCTAGGCTTTAGCTTTCCTAATGTGTTCCCTGGCTGCTTGAACAACTTCTCTGTATTACTCCCAGGCTACCCGTCCCTGCTTCCACCCTCTGTAGGCTTCCTTTTTACATTTGAGCTTGTCCAGGAGCACCTTGTTCATCCATGGAGGCCTCCTGGTGGTCTTACCTGACTTCTTCCATCACTTCTGAGCTTGGAGAAAGTAATCCTTGAATATTAACCAGTTTTCCTGGGCCTTTCTTGCCTCCAGGGCTTTATCCCATGTTACTCTACCAAGCAGATCCCTGAAGAGGCCAAAGTCTGCTTTCCTAAAGTCCAGGGTAGCAAGCTTGCCGTGTGCCCTTGCCATCTTAAGGTTCTTGAACTCTACCATATCATGTTCACTGCAGCCAAGGCTGCCCTTGAGCTTCACACTCCACACCAGCCCCTTCTTGTTGGTGAGAACAAGGGCCAACACAGCACTTCTCCTCACTGGCTCCTCCATCACTTAGAAGGAAGCTATCATCACTGTATTCCAGGAATCTCCAGGATTGCTTATGCCCTGCAGTGCTGTCTCTTCAACAGATACCAGGGTGGTTGAAGTTTTCCATGAGGACCAGGGCTTGTGAATATGAGGTTGCTCTTACCTGTCTATAGAGGGCCTCATCCTCTCAGTATTACTGTAGGAAAGTTGGGTGGCCTGTAGCAGATCCCCACTATAATGTCTTCTGTCCCTGCCCTCCCTTTAATCCTGACCCATAAGCTCTCAGTCAGCTCTTCATCCATCCCCAGGCAGAGCTCTGCACATTCCAGCTGGTCACTGACATAGCAGACAGAGAGAGCAACACTCCCTCCTCGTCTGCCCTGCCTGTCCTTCCTAAAGAGCCGGTATCCTTCCACTCCAACAGTCCAGTCATAGGAGTCATACCAGCCTGTCTCTGTGATGTCAGTAAGATCATAACCCTGAAAGTGTGCCTATGGGTCTAGCTTCTCTTGTTTATTCCCCATACTACATGTATTTGCATAGAGACATTTCAGTTGGGCCCCTGATGCAGCTGACTTGTTGGCTACAGTTCCTTTGAGCTACTCTTCAGGTGCTCTCCTGCTGACCTGTGACCCCTCTAGTCTCCTCATGTAATTGCAGTGCTAAAAGTAAACAGGATGAATTTGTCTACATTCCTGTTAGCACTGCTTATGTCCAATTGCATTACAGCTCTCCTATAAACCATTTTTGTGTTGGTAGTAAGCTGGTAAAGATGGGTTAAGATGAATTGGTCCATATTTCCCCAGTAATTCTTCCTGAACAGGTTATACGATGTTTTGTGTCATGAGAGATCATTAAGTATGGTGTTTTGTGATAACTGCATCTCTTGTGATCCAGAAATATCTTGCTACTGCAGTCACAATGACATTGTTTTGGGTTTTGAAGAATGTTCTTCTCTTCAGCAGATTGGGACTGTATGCTCTGCTACTGGACCAAACCCTGTTTGGCACACTAAAATGAAACATGGTCCAGAATAAAATTCATTAAGTTAGCCAGCAAGTGGCAGTAAGCTTAAATGTGACCTTTGCTGTTTATAAATGTTCTTCATGGGTTTCTTAGGTCCTTACCTCAACCTACCCAAAGACAGTTATGGAATGTTATTGTTTATAAAATATCATTCGTCTGACAGTTGTGTAATGATTACACATGAGCTTCTTAAATTACTAGTTGTAACTCAGTGCCAGAAGCAGGAATATATACTAGGATTCCTACTCCCCAAGTCATACCACAATCTGCACAATATTTGTTGATAAAATATCTGTACATTATCTGCATCTACTGATCTGTATAAATAGAATGTTAGAACCCTACTGTATCTGTATACTGTGTGATTCTCCAAAGTCAAATGTTCTGCTTGTAGTCTTCGAAGCAACTGCACTTAACTTTTTTTTTTTTAAAAAAAAGCAGTTCATACTGTGAGAATGTTCAGTAGAAAGAACTGCAGCCAAAGAAACGGTGTCCAGCTGTGGTGAGGTTCACCGTAAAATTCTGGGTTGTGATTTTCCATTGCTTGTTGCATGATGGTAATAGCTTGTGAGTTGCTGAAGAATGACTAATTCATGCACTTTTAGCTGGATGTGAAGGGAGAAAGAGAAGATGTGAGCAAACCTGTAACTTTCCCTGAGTGCTACAGTTACTGTATCTGATAAGTTAATACAACTACTTTTGTTGTCTTATCATAGATAAACTCTGAAGAACGTGTTGATACAGCTGATCAGGAGACAGTCTCTTGGGATCGCAGTATTCCTGAAGACATAAAACAAAAAATACAGCCTAAAGAGGTTCCAGCAGAAAGTGTTACTGTCTGGATCGATCCCTTAGATGCTACACAAGAATACACAGGTAGCTGATTCTTGTTGACAAATCATGTGTGTAATTCTGATGTCTGCCTTTTATACTGGAGACAAAATAGTAAGTATTTAAAATGGCATCTCTTATTAAAGTGTGTTATGTCAAAGCTAGTGTGATTTAATTGAACAAATTGCATAATGAAATCTGTGGTTATCAAACTACAGTGTTTACTTCTGTATATTTCAACTCTGAAATTACTTTGATATTCCTTGCTACTAAGTATTTGCTAAAATAAATGGTAACTGTCACTTATAGATTCTCGGTAACTGTCACTTATAGATTCTTCTGGAATGACATTTCTTTCAGTTATTACTCTGGCAACATTAAATATCTCAGAATATTTTTTGTTTATTTAAATGGAATAATAGTAAATATTCAACTTGATATAAAAAAATTAAGAGTTTTTAAAAAAAGCATGCATAATTCAATCTTCCCATTTTTCAAATGTTTTAAGATGTCACATAAGCAGTTCAACGTAATCCAACTAAAATTTTTGCTGATAAGTACTGGAACAAAAGAAAAATGGGGATTATTTGCGAATGTTCCCTTGACACAATTGCCTTTTCCAGTGAAGGCTTTTTGGTATTTCATTTATCAGCTTTGAACCAATAGAGGATAGGAAGTGGGACAGAGAAGGGAGGATATAGGGGCACAGATTTCCATGAAAATATATGCTGCAAAAGACACAGCTGTTAGCAGTAGATCTGGCAGGAGTATAGGTTACATCTGCTGAACAGGAAAACTTGCTGGAAAACTGAAAAGTCTTTAAAGTTGTTTGAAAACTGCAAGGTTATTTGAAGATACAACAAAGTTACATAAATGTAGGAGGGAAAATGTAGACTAGTGTCCAAAGAACAGCATTTCTGTAAAATCAGGTCTGCTTTCTTTTTGTGTTCTTGGCATCTGGCTGTAAACTTACTCACTTTCTCATTTTGCCCACAGAGGATCTTCGACAGTATGTCACGACAATGGTTTGCGTGGCTGTAAATGGTAAACCAGTAATAGGAGTGATACACAAGCCGTTCTCAGCATATACAGGTACCTTCATATATTTCTTCACATGTTTCCAGCCTCTTCAGGCATAGTGGTAATTAAAATTTAATGTTTGAGAGAACACCTGTAGGTATAAATGAGAAAATCGTACTTGGGGCAAAAGACCTCGGAGTTAGAGCTGCAGATGTGTTTTGTGCTATAAAACTGTGAAGGAAAATGCTGCCCTTGTTTAACATAAAAATGATGCATTTAAAACAAACTAACTGAAAACATGTTTAAGAATTAAGATGCCTTCAGTTGGAGTGCTTATAGTAAACCAAAGAAAGTGAAACCTACTCATGCTGACCAGTCTTATGCATGCTGTTAGTCTTCAACCTTTGCTCATTCAGAGCAACATGGGTCTGTGATATTATACCCAGAAGCTGATGTTTATTCAGTGTGAATAACAAAAATTTTAATGGTAACTGTTTATATGTAACAGGCAAAACTGTAGCATATCCTTAGTGATTATTTGACATGTTTTTAATGCCACAACCCTTCACTAATTAATGCTTTAGGTATCAGTGAGGATGGCTGCAGGTTTGGCAACATGTATGCACTTCTGAAAGCTTCAAAGTAGTTTTAGTATTCATGTTTTACATACTATATATTTGAAACAAGAATTTCTGTTCTCCTTTTCCCTTAGGCAATACTGACCTCTAGAGTTGTGAAATTATGCAGTAGCTCTGGCACAAACTAAGACTGAATACATGTGGTTTTTTGTTCTTTTTTTTGCCTACTGAATACTCAGTGTTTTGTGTTAAATATTTTACTGTCTTTAAATATGAACTTAATTTTCAGTCATTTAAGTATGTGCTAGATTCCCACAGGCTTTAAGAATCTTGGGGGATTTTGGAACATCTTTTTCTAAGTATCAACATCAATCTGAAGAAATGGGGTTTTTTGGCACTCTAAATTAGATAATTTATCTCCTTTAATAATAGCAAAGTGTGAAAAGTTCGGACATGGCATCAGATGAGATCCAATGAATTCTGTTGTTCTATGTGAAGAGTATTCATTTCACAGTCTGAAAATACCAGTATTTTATGAGTAGGATTGTTCCTAATACTACCACACAAATACAAAGCAATAAGGGGCAGTCGGCATTGTTATTACACATAACTTGGTCTGTTGCCATACAATCTGGCCCTCTACTGAGATGAAATTGCTGGTTAGTCTGCTAAGTAAATGTCAAATTAATGCTTGGGGGATGCCGCCTACTAAGCTGGGCTTTGAACCTCATGATGAAACAAGTGGGAGGTTGTGTATTCTAAATCCAGTCCACCGAAACACACATCGAATGTTTTTTCTTAGCATTAGTATCCTCCTAAACTGTTACCATTCTTAACATTCATATCCTTCTGAACAAAACAATAACACTTTTGCTATCTGCTTTGAAAGGTATGGGGCTTTTTTTTTCTTATAAGAAGGTTGTTTGAGGAAATACTGAATCTGTTTCTGACTTGGAGCCATCGTTTTGACTTCGGTGGCTTTCCAGTTGCAAGATCTAAATATTACTGCTTGGGATTTTTCCCTCTTACTCTGTTTTGGTTTGATTTTGGTTTTTTTTTCTTTGATGTGTCACGCAAGAATAGTCAGGCATGGAATAACGCCATATGCACAAAAGTCTGTGTGTGTGTGTGTGTGTGTGTGTGTGTGTGTGTGTGGAGATGGTTTCTCTTTGTCTTCCGCTTGTGTGCATATGTGGGCATGCACCCTTCTGTCAGCCCTAACTTTCCCTTTTACAGTAGGGAGGGACATTGTCAGAGGCATCAATTCCATTTTCTTGGAGCAGTATCCTTTTATCTTTACACTTAACAGAGATTGCTTTTGTAAATCTTAGCAGAATTTGTGTTTCTTTTGTAGCCTGGGCAATGGTGGATGGTGGGTCAAACGTAAAAGCTCGTTCCTCCTACAATGAGAAAACTCCGAGGATTATTGTATCCCGCTCCCATGCAGGAAAAGTTGAGCAGGTTGCACGGCAGACATTTGGAAATAAGACTGTGATAATCCCCGCTGGTGGAGCAGGTCTGATTCCTTAAGCATCCTATACATTTTATTGCTTCCAAATGATTTAATGGGATAGCTCTTATTAGACAAAAGGATATAACTGTGGCATCTCCTCTTTTTCCTCTTAACTTTTGTTCACATCCCTAAAAGCAAACACTTCACAATAGGGACACAGTTTCTCCTGTGTATAGAAACCTACACGGAAACTTAGTTCAGGCTTCAAGCTATTCACAAGTTAGTGAATCCAAGCCTTCACCAGCAAAGTCATTGTGATCCTTTAAGTGAAGACACGGATATGTATTCACTGAAGGCACCCATGCCTCTATGGAGGAAAACGGATCATGTGACCACATAGAGAATCTGTTGCTTGTTGGTTAACTAGTAGTAAGTTTAATTAAACAATTTTTAAAGAAAATGCCATTAAAGTTTGGTACTATTTCTTGCATTTATGTCAAAAGAGAAAACTAGTGTCACTAAAGGCTATTTTTATCTGCTTCATATTCAGTCCAGAGAGGTTTTAGCTTACTTTTTGTAACTTACACAATATACTTGTGCATGTTACTGACAGAATGCAAATATGTGAGGCACTAGTGTAAAGCAATAGCTGTTTTAAAGGCTTAGAAGAGCCATGCAAAATTTGAATTTTATGGAAATGTATCTGTCTGTGTCTTGAATATGGAAAGCCAGTTTCCTTACAGATTGTGTAGTCAGGAAGATCTTGCATAGGTTCTTGACAATGAATCTAAACGAGTTTTCTTATGATGAAGGAAGTGAAAGCATAACTGGTTATAGCAGATCTTCTCCAGGGCTTGCCTCTGTATAAGAAAAGAAAGAAAGGAACAGTTTAATGAAACAGGGATATTGGTTGAACAGTTGAAATATTGAAAAAAATTCCATAAAAGAGAGAATATTGTTTTGAACAATGACTTTATACTGTATAATGTATGATAAAAGGAGTATGCCCTGGGCTGAATTGCTTGATTAGAGTGGTATATGCATCTTCCTTCTACTGTAAGAAAAAGCCAGGAAGAAAAGGGTAGACATCAGCATAATACAGAGAGAGAAATAAGTGAGTGAATGTAAGAGCAAAACTACATTCAAGTTTCTGGTCTTGTTCTTTTAGTGTATCTCTAGATAAGTCTATGTAACATATTGGTAAAGGCTGTCTAAAATTAATGAATCTCAAATACCTAAGGCTTTCATTGGAGTGCAATGGAAAATCTTGTGTGTGTGTGTGTGATGGGTGGGGGGGGTGTTCCTTTTTCAAATTCTCTCTACAGGACAGAGGGCAGACAAGTTTATTTACTGTCTCCATTGTACTGAGTGGCATGATACAATGAATGACATCACTTTCTGAAGTACTGCATGTACATATTATTAACTCTTACTAGTAGATTCATCCTTTGTGATGACCAGGAAAACTTGGTTTAACTTTTTTTTTATTACTTCTGCCCATTTCTAGGATATAAAGTGTTGGCCCTCCTTGACGTGGCTGAAAAGAATCAAGAAGAAGCTGACGTGTATATCCATGTCACCTACATTAAGAAGTGGGACATATGTGCTGGAAATGCAGTGTTGAGAGCATTGGGTGGCCATATGACTACCCTGACTGGTGAAGAAATTAGTTACACTGGCTCAGATGGCAATGAGGGAGGACTTATAGCCAGTATCAACATGAACCATAAAGCACTAATTGAAAAACTTCCAGATCTGGAAAAAACATCACACAAATAAACTTGACTGATGGAGAAGTACAGGTTGTGCTTTTGTAGCCTCCAGACACTCTGTCTGAAGAAGCAGGTGTGAAAACCTGTTGGGAAAGGTGCATGGCAAAGCAAGGAAGTTTGGTGTGGGTTTGGGGACTGTATTGTGCATTGGGTTTCTTCAGTGGTGGTATTTAAAAAAGAATAAAATAATAATAATCAGAAGTAGGAAGGGGACTGATTGCCTCACCTCAGTTTCCATGTTTTATTTTTTTCAGACTGTTTTCATGCAGTTCTTATACTCAAGGTGCATATACAGTATATATTGGTGAACATAGGTGAACTAAAGAAAAATCCAAATTTATTCATAAAATAACCTAAGTAGTTCTCACAGGAATTTCTTGGAACCTTGTACATCTTGTTACTGTAGTTGTAGCAACTTCATAATGAATTAGGTAGGAAAAAAGGTTGATTTGTGTAGACATCTGATAACTCTGTGAACAATTTAGCAGTAAACATGACCTTGTGTTCTGTATCCCCTGAACTGAAAGCACAAGAATATTGACACAAATTTATATGCAGCAACAGTTTATCTTTGACAGTGTGGCACTCCTACTTTTTAAGAGAAAAGAAGAAATGTTCTGTACTATTTTGACATTTTTCCTGAAGGTGTAAACCAGTTTAGTTCAGATGGGTTGTGAATATTGGTGTTTTATTAATCAGTGTAACTATTCCCATATACGTTTTTAAAAGAAGGCAACATTTACTTGTATAGTTTTTAACAGTTACTACTTGTCCTTGATTTCTGCATACAGTGTTGAAGATGCATGCTAGATTTTTCTCTGATGTAGGACTTGTTCATCATTTGGTGTTTGTGCCTATAGAAGCAGCCTCTTTCTTCAGTACTTGGGTTTGTTTTGGTTTTTTTTTCCATTGCACAGAGTCATTTGGAATGAGTTTTAACAGAAATAGTAAGTTGATTGGTTGTTCCCATTTACAACATGAGATATAAACCAGCGATTTTTCTACAACCCCAGAAATAACTTTCTGTCTTTTTAGATTAAGGCACGCTCTTTTCTGCAGAAAGCTCTTGAGCCATCCCAAACAGCTTGTGGTAATTTGGTTTATGCAAATTTGCATGGAGACCAACCATTTGAACTTGAATCTGTTTAAGCAAGTTTGAAGAACATGTGGCACTTGAAATACAGCAGGGTCTGCAAAACTTTACTGACAAATGTTGTCAGTCCTGTATTCACAGAACAGAACTTGGGCCCTTTGATAGCAAATGACAGTTTGTTGTGCCTCTAAAATATGTGGACTTCTATCTGCAAAAATGTAACCATCTCTGTTGTTCCCTGCATCCCTCCGAAGGGTTTCAGAAGGTTAAAATATACCTATTATTTGAATTATCAGTAGATAAACTTCCCATCTCTCCTCAGGAAAGCTAAAATTCTTATTTTATACAGATGTTTTCTCAGTATAAGCTTAGGCTGTTTAAACCAAATTCTTAATTAGTTTTATTTTAACTTTTATCATACTGTTCTGATAAAAAAGAGGGTTTTCTCCTTATGTCAGTAGTGGAGCATGTCTAGATACCTCTTAACTTCTAGCTGATGTTCACACTTCCAAAAGACATCCTCAGATGTTGCATAACTATAGATACAATCATTTATTTTGTAAACTTACTGGCAAAGTAGACTGAAGTTTAGTCCTACTAGCCTTTTGGTACGGGTAGTTTTTTTTAGATAAATGTTTTTCCAAAATTGACACTACTGCTGCTGTTTGAAAATAGCTTTTACATATGTAGATAATACACAAAGCAACTTAACTTCACATTTTTAAATGTAATAAATTACTATATGCTGTGACAGGTGAATATGCCCCTTTTAAAAAGGGTCTGATCTATTTTGAAAAGCTTGAGCTTCCAAACCTCCATGAAGAATAAAAATCCAGATATTTATCAAGGCTTTAGTAATATTTTACAAGATGACTGCAGGTTTTTTTCCTTCAGGCTGATTTAAGTGACTTAAAGCCTAATAAAAAAAAGCAATTGTTCTGTTTATTAGTTAAAGAACATGGATTAAAAATTAAATACGAGAAATAGCCATAGTTAGCCTAGTATAAAAATGTGATTGTGTCACAAAGGTTGAATGCACAGTATTTAAATAGGCAATCAAGACAGTCTATGGCAGGTCATGGTTTTAGATTCAGGTTGAAATTGTGTAAACTTGTGGAAATGTGATTGCTTTTATTTTGGGTACGATTCTATCGCTTGCATAAACTGTGATCAGACTTAGCTTCTGTATGAGAAATTAAAAGTAATACTGCATATCATACAAGGGCTTACTTACATCTTAGTTGAGGGTATAGAGCAGTAAACAGAAGTATTTGCCTAAATTATGTTTCCTTAGGAAGTTAGGATACAAAGAACAGTTTCAGCTCTCCTTTTCTTCCTCCCATATGCTAACTAAAATATCTGGTCTTCCATTAGGAGGATATATGCTTCTTTAGACCCGCTTATATCCTAAATTGGTTTGTTGCAATGGATCACAGCGTTCACTACCTTTCACAGTGGGCCCTGTTAGCCTGATCTTACTTCTCGTGGAAGAGAAGGTGAGAGTAAGGTGCCCGGTTAATTACTTCTGTGCAGCTGGAGCTCATACAGCTAAGGCCTAAAGTCATGCTTGGGGTCTCCCAGTCTAGTTCAAAGAGGAGCTGCTTTGATATGAGAATGATATGAGGTACCTGGTGAATTATCAGTTTCAGATGCCATTTTACAATAAAAGCAGGCCAGCAAGTATTCAGAGTATTCAAAACTACTTGTTTAGTGCTCATCTGTCAGTGCACTTTAATATTAGCTTATATAGTGTTGACACTCAGTATATCCCCTTTCTTTGACTATGTTTACACTCCATTCTAAAACATTTTGCTATTCTGACTTAAATATTTGTTTGGTCTCAGCTGTGTGGATGTGATTTAAGCTTATACCCAGAGTGGTATGAAATCATACCATTCCCATGTCTCAGTGCTGGGCTAGAATATTGTTCTTTAGAGTCTACCCTTTTCCATATAAAACTGTCACACCATTTTTAGGCATGCTACTTAAAACAGTTGCATCGTGTAGGTGGGTCCTATAAAAATACGCCTTTTCTAAAAATTGTAATAAAAAAAATCAAGGTGTCGTTTTAGATCCAAACAAGGGAATTAAGAGAATGTATTGTTTTAGCATTGGTTTTCCAATGGTGGATTTTTTTGACTGGCTATTATGATTGAGGTAATCACAAGTGAAATTATTCTAAAGCCATTTGTATTTTTTCTTTTTCATTCTGCTAAAACAAGTGGATGATAGCATAGATGATACCTTGTGCTGTACCAGGAGTCCTAACTTTCATTCCCCGAATGAACATTTTCTAAATAAACAGAAATAAAAGGGTCGAATATTGTACTTAATTAGTTTGGAGATTAACCTATTTGATAGACTTTTACAGATGGACTTATAGAAAAGCTGATTGTTCTGATCTATGGCACACATAATAATAATAATAATAAAAATATTTAGCAGGGATGGTGAATTAACCATGTAGGTGAAGCTGCAAAGTCATTTAGTGATGTTTCATGTATTTGCTTTTTCTTTGTGGTCATTAGAGTGGACAGAATTTTCTAATTGGCTTCAGGTGTGAAGAGATTTTGGGTTTTTTTTAAATGGCCAGTGGTTGAAGATCAGGGGCATGAAGGGGAGTGGGCACTGGAGTTCATCTCTGCTTTTTTATTTATAAACAGCTGTACTCCAGCATCTTTGTAGCATCGTTTTACTTGGAGATGTGCAACAGCAGTGCAATACTGTATACTTCTGGTTTAATAGTGTAAAGGAGGAGACTGTGTCCCCCAAGAACAGTGCAATGAGAAGTGACAGTGTTGTGCTGGGCCTTGTCTCTGTTAATGCAGCTGAGGCTGGCTGCTTTGTTGTCTCATGCATGTTGTTCCAGCTGCAGTTTCTCTGATGGCAAAACTGCTTTTGTAGGCTATTGCCTTCCCAGTTACACCCAGCCCCTTTGTGGATCTGTTTTCTAAAGCTAGAGGAGAGAAAAGAAGCAGATGGCTGTGCTGGAGAAATTGTAAGAGAAAGCATTTATTTCCAATTCTTTATTTAAATTACATTGATAGCTTCATATATCTTGTCCTTCAGGGTTAGATAACCATACAGTTAATATTTAATGGACCACAGATAAACGCCTGTGTGATTTTAAGCAGGATGAGGGTGGGGGAGACTGCCTTTATCCAAGGAGAGTTTGTATGGATGGCTTCCCATCAGGCCATTCATGATGAGCCTTATTCAGTGCTTTGTTGTAAAGATTTGGGCCCTTTTACACAAACAATCACAGACTTGACTTTGCCAAAATGTTATTCATAGTTTATATTCTGACCTACTATCCTCAATGATGAAACTGTGGTATATCCACTTCATTGTAATGTAACTCGTTGAGACGAGACTGTGGTAACTGAGGACTCAAAAGATTGCTTGACTTTTGAACCAAACAACTTTCTGTATGGCAGCTCTTATAGTGAAATACTAGCATCTGCTGTGAGTGTCTTACCACCCCACAAGCAGGTAGTGCCATTCAAGCGTCCTGTTGAGAATCTGTTGTAGCCTTATACTACATGATTTTCAGATGCCACAGCCTTTGAGCCTTTCTGAGAGGGGTTTGGATGTGCTCATCCAATTTCCTTCTGAGTCTCCCTCTAAAGCCAGCAATCAGCAGCCACTTTTCCGTCTTTGTTCCTCATTTTTTTGTTTCTTCCTGATCCTTGCTCCTTAGTCCATGTGGACAAGAAAAATGAGAGATCAGAGGTGGAAATGGTCCCAGAAAAAGAGAACCACAACAGCAAACTATCCAGTTTATCCTCAGGCTTAATATTTGGGACCAAGGTCTAAGGTGTTGATCCTACCAGAAGTGTGATAGATGCCAACAAAATAAAGACATCTTGGAGAGATTTGTGTGATTGGTGGTACTGGACACGCAGAAAAGATGCAGATGGACTAAGAAGTTAAACTGTCCTAAAAAAGGAGAAGAAAACAGCTTTTCAGTGTAATGTAATATGTATTCAGCATTTCTGTTCCTCTGGATGCAGAGCTTCACTGCTTATGAAAGAGGCTCCGTTGGCCCTCTGTGAAAGGCCTGATTTTGCTGGTCAGTAGCAGTGTTCTGAATTCAATGTGAGCAGAAGCAAGCCAGATAAAACAGAAACAGTAAATTCAGCTAAGTTCTGAAGAGCTCAGCTTCTGCCAGTAGAGCAAACAACCTGGTTTGTGTTTAAACTCACTTCTGGCAGCTTCAGCATGTTACTGGAGAATTTGGAAACATCACCCCAGTGTCTCAAGGTTCTAAGTCATTCAGATTATTTTTTTATGGTCTACAGCTCATAGAGCACATGTTCAGATAATAGTGTTTTCAACCCCAGTTGTTCCTTATTTGTAATTCATATTTCTCTTTTCTCCCCAAAGGACCAGCAACACTCTGGCATTTTGCCTGTTGTCCCACCAAATTGTATTAGTATTTTCCAGTTGTGTGCCAAATTGAAATAACAATTCTATAAATAAACTCTCTGAAAATAGTGGTGAGGGTGTTTTCCTATGTCTTGTCTTTCTGTTGGGTATTTATTGTTTCTTTGTGCACCAGATTTATTTTTTTTTATGGTAATGCATGTCAGGCTGCTTCAGCCGTGCTGTGTCCATCATGCGTGCATGACGTTCTGCCTGAGGGATTATCGTTGTAGACAAGTCTAGTCAAGTTTATGATAAATATAATTCAAGATCTCCACTGGTTTTGCTTTCATATGTGTGTTTTATTGTGAAAGTTGGTGGATTTGTGTGATGGAAAATGAGTGCTTAGAAATCCCCCATATAGTATTGTTCCTTGGATCTGAAGAAGTTTTTCTTCCAACATAATCTCCGGGACTCTTCCTAACCATGTTACTTCATTCTGCTTGAGTCTCTTGTTTCCATGAGAATAGTATTAGAGCAGTAACTGTACTAGCTCTTTCATGGAGTAAGTTGAAAGATACTTTAATGTTCCACATCAGTATGACAGTTTGGGCTCTGCTTGGGTGCAGCTTCAAATATGGTTGTCACCCCTACCAACATGTGTAGGACTGGATGTACAGTGAAGCCGTGTATCATCCTGGCAATGGGGGCCTTGGTGTGCTTTGCTGATTATCATTTTTCCTCAGGTACGAACCATAATTGCCAGGCAGCCTCTGTGCCAGCACAGGCCAGTCAGTATTCACAAAAGCTACATTTTAGCATGCCCAAAATTGTGCTCTGGTACTAACACTGATTTATACATGCTACTAAACACTTTCAGACTCCAAAATAGGTGGCTGCTTGTGGACTGCTCACTGAGAAGTCTACCAGGATTGTGTGGACTACTGAACCGTGCCTGGGAAATTGTTTGGGATGGAGCTGGTTTGCTTTGGCCAAAAACATGCCGAGGATCATGCTGTAGTACTGACTGGTGAGCTGTGGAGTCCAGGATCATTCTGGACTGTATAGCTGACTTGTATGGACATAGGCAATATATGCTACAGGAGCTGTACGTGCATGTTTTGAAAACCTTTGTTCGTATGTGATCTAACCAGATAATCAGTGTGGAGTATTTGGTAGTAATTTGGAGAGAAAAGTATCTGTTATGATGCTCTGAAGAGCATTCTGGGGAAGGAACAACCCAGAGGAGTGGGGATTCTGACCATCTTACAAAGCATACTTGTACATGTGTGAGAAAATGGGTATTTGCATTTATTAGTGATATTGACATTATCCCAACTGCCTCCAATGACACTGTGCAGCAACCTGGACAGCCCAAGTGATAGGCTTGTCTGAGGAAAGCTTAGAATATGTCTAGTTGCTGTTTCATGTGACTAATAGCTGGACTAGCTGATTCCTATGGCGGGTTTGGGAACTTTGCTGCACTGAAAACACTGTCTTTTCAAGTACACTGGTTAGGAAAACAGTGAAATTGCACTTTACTGTGTGTTGTGTTAAGCCATGCAAAGGGCAAAAGCACAAGTACACTTGGACAACAAAGGAAATTGCAGAAGTTTAGTAAATATGTTAACAGCTGGTAGCTGACTTGTCAAAAACACTTGTATCCTTTGGGAGGCCTGAAGGATTGAGGTGTAGGCTAACATCTACTCTGTACTGTCAGCCATTTATGTGAGGCTCTCAAGCTTGCATTTCTCCCACTTGAGCTATCACTGCAGTGTGACATAAGAGTTGGGTTGCTAGTGGTGCTTCTTCCAGGCTCTTAGTGCTGCTGTGTTATTCTGGTATCAGCTCTGAGTGCTGCTGTGTTATTCTGGTATTGCACCAAAGATTCAATCCGTGCTTGGACCTGGCGAAGGCACCCAATGCCCAACACTGGTCCCAGTGGCAGCCTCCAGCCTCATCTCTGACCAGGGCTCAGCTTTGCCTGGGCCACAGAACCTGCCCTGGGGCCAGCGTTTTTGCAGATTTCCTTATTCAGAGCAGTGTGATAGGTAACAGGTGTAACACTGTGTAGAAAAACTAAAGACCCTGCAGTGGCATCCTGCTCCCCAAAAACATAAACCAAATTTATGGGTCCCTTTCATCTATTGCATCAGCTCCTCACATACATTGTGTTCTACACCTTCTTGCTTTTGTTTTCTTTAGGTGGTCATGTTGTCCTTATGCTACTCATAAATGCAAGCTAAAATCAATAAAAATGCTCTAAGTTCAGTTCAAGTTGTGCATACCTAAGAGCTATTTGCACATGTTTTTCTCTTTGTACAATAGTAAGATTGTCCTGAGCAGACTTCTCATTTATTGGCACGCAGACATCCCGCACAATAGTCAAATGACTGATGGTTTTTCAGTCATGGTCTCTAACTCTAAATGTCAGTTCACTTGTAGTGCTACAATAATTAACTCTCTTTTTCAGGATTACACTGCAAGGCACTGTTTTAACTTGGTCTGGACCCTCACTCAGTTTCTTAACAGCATTCTAGGAGTCTCCATCAGCCGAAGAGAATTTCTCATCCCCAGGGGAAGGGTTGTACTCCCTCCGCAGAGGTTGGAAGTTTGACCTGGTGCCACAGGTGGGCGCAGAATCAGGTCAGATGAACTGGAGCAGGTGCCCATCACTTCTGCTGTGGGCCTAGACTTGGTGACCCTTTACTCGTCGCACATCTTAAGTAAAATGACTCCCAACTTACAGAAATTCTTCCATATTAAGTGGTATGACCTAAATGAAAAGTGCCACAAACATTGTGCTAATCTATAAAAATTCTGAGGACAATGGACTGATGTGAAACTACACAGATTTGGCTTTTACATTTTAAAACTACACTTTTTTTTTTCTTCCAAATTATATACTTAATGTAGAGTTAAGAATGCATCAAATTTGCACTCTTCACATCTGAACTCCAGGCTGGGTGGATCTGGTGTCTTTGTGTTTGCAGAGAGCAAATAACAATGCACACTGTATTTGTGCAAGGGGATAGTGTTCAACCAAAATAAGTAAAGGGGATCAAATACGTATGAATTCTGTACTAGGGGAAAGTCACATGTTCTAACCTGCTTCCTGTAATTTTCTGAAATCTTAGTATCTGAATCTGTTGGAAATATTTGCATAAACAGCAAAGATCTTCAGTTATTTTAGCAAAAATAAGTATCTCTTGCATGGAATGTTTACTACAGGACTGAACTGACACAGATCTGCTGGCTATTCTGAAAAGATCTTGAACTTCTCTTACAGGAATAGTTTTTTTGCAGATGTAACAGTGACTTTTAGAACCTAAATTGCACTCCATACTAATAGATGTAGAGCAAGAAAACTATGTATGCCACAAACTCTTAGCACTGACACTTGGAGCTCTAATAATAAAGGACCTGGGGTGGAGGGGTGGAGCAGAGGCCAGTAGAGGGCTCTGTCTTTTCATGAATGCCATGAAGAGACAGAAAGATTTGGGGGAATGTGAATTCACATGCCTGTTTGTTTTTTGGTTTTGTTTGGTTTTTTTTTTTTTTACCGAGAAAAGTCTTTTACCTGTTTTACTCAGTTGTAGAGCATGTTTTTAGTGAAGAAGGCACCGACAGAGTTCTAGTGTCTGATCCAGAGGGCTGCACTGAATTGGTACTGTGCAGTTTGACAGCTTGTTAATTCTAATGCACACTCTCTCTTGTTTTTGTTTTGTTTGTTTGTTTTATTTGACTTAATATTGCAGTAAAAGTGCACATTTTTGTACAGTAGGTTTAAGCTACCAGCAATATACTTTCTTTTAAGTAGCACTTTTCAGTCTCCTTAAAATTTATCCTGTGTATTCAGAGACATCCATAACTAGAGCTTGAAAGTCATGGCATGAATTTCCCATGAAGATGGCTGTGTGCATGCTCATTTCCTAGAAGTTTTGCTTTTGTAGTTATGAGTAAGGCCAATTGTGACAACTGTACATCCAAGCTTTGCGTGCCTTTAAGTACAGAACCACTCGACCTGCCACTTCAAGTTAATTGCTCATGTCTGATATTGTTAGAAGAACGACTCCTCCATTCATCAACTTCTATGTTTCAGTCTCAAGGAAATAATACCTTTATTCTCACCCACAATAAGCATGACTTAATGACCCTCTGTAAACAATAACTGCCTCCCTGCATCCCTTTTTTTTTTTTTTTTGCCTTCTTTCTTAAAATCTCGGTGTTCCACCACCAGACAAATTTTTGTCAGTTTAGTTTAACAAATAAAAAAACCTGTTGCTTAAGCAATTGAAACACCCCAACTTACTATCGTTACATTACCAAGGCATGGTTTTCTCGCTAAGGTAAATTGCAGTATATTTTGATATCATTTGAACTTCCTTCCAGCTAGCAAAAAAATAGGCTTCTGTTTTGGCCTTTCTTGCACATGAGAACTGTCATACCCATCTTTATCTGAAATGTTTTGTCTTGCGGAAGTGTGCTGATGCTTTTTGAAGCAGCTCCATGATACCTTTGTAGGCTCTTTCTGTCACAGTGCCAGCAAGAACAGAGAGTTGGACTGATATTTTATCAGCTACTTGTTACTGAAATTGTTTGGAATATTTTCTTATTCCTGTCACCAGTATTTGTTGTCCTTTGTGTTCATTTCTCACATGAAAAAAAAAAAAAAAAAAAGGTATTTTTCTCTTTCAGACTTTTACAGGAAGCTTGCAGTGCTTTTCTCTACAACTGTCTTCCAGTACTGTATTAATGACATAAAATTGTAATATTACTGCGTTCTTTGCATTGCCTTTTATTCACACTACATGAAATTCCAGTGACTCTCACCTTCCTGCCTGTGGAACAGAGGAAAAGAGCTGTGTCCCCCATGTTCCAGCTGCACAAAGCAAGTGTGTGCTGCTCTCTGCCTCTGCAGACCCTCACTTACTCAAACCTGAGGTAAGACAAAAGAGAAGAGTTTTGAAGAACATCCTTTTGCTCCAACCTAAACTTCGGTCGTCAGCTGCAGGGATCATTTCTTCCATGGTGAAAGCTAACATTAATGGGTCCCTGCCTGCCAGAGGTAAGGTACAGATACCAGAAAGTCAACAAACAGCTGGAGAAAAATAGGCATCCTAATTTTAAA